TCCAGCGCAGCTCCTCCACCCTGCCCAGACCACCTGGCTCCTCCAGGGGAGAGGTTCTCGGTGGGCAGCAGTAGGGGTCTGTCTGCAAGAATCCTCCCTGTGGCTTGTTTTGCAAGACTTTCAAAGGAAATTAGAATTAGGAAAGAGTGGACCTGCAAGCGTCATGTGTCTGCTGTCATTCTGATCAGCCTTGTGTCCCTTCCACCGCTGGTTACCAGTCAGTCCAATTCAGCTGATCCCCCACCCACCATCCTCTGACCGCCAACAGAAACACCTGCTGGAAACAGCCCTGTCTCCCCCGAAGCAGCCTCTTTGGTCCGCCTTAGACCCCATGGTCACTTTTGTCCCATGCACGCATCCTTGCCTGAGCCACCACAGCCCTGGACCGTCACAGCACTGGACCCCATCACCAGGCTCCCAGTACTCAATGGCAGGACTGGCTCCCGCCAAGCCCCACACAGGGTCTCTGAGCTGGCAGGTCAGGTTCTGCTGGGTGCTTGGCTGCACTGCAAAGCCCTAAGAGAGGGGGTCTTGTCCCAAGCTCCTGGTGGCACCCGGGTCAAGATAAGGAACAGGGCGGCTGCTCTGAGTGGCCATGTCCCCACACCTCCTTCCTTTCTCCTTGAGAAATTCCATTGATTCTGTTCCAGTGTCACTCTCCCAGATCCCTGTGATAGAACTGGCTGCTTCTAGATCAAAAGCTCCATGTGGGTGTGCACCAGGGGACCACCAAGCCCAGGAGCCACAGAGCCATCAGCCCCCATAACACGGAAGCCACCTGCTGGCAGACGCTCCCTCTCCTTCCAGAGGTTAGAAGCCAGGGTCCCATGCAGAGCACAGCAACACCACACAACAAAACTGCACATACACATGCCCATGCACATATGTGCCCACATGTACACAGACACAGACCTATGCCCACAAATGTATGCACACATGCCCCCCACATACACATCCATGCATGTGCGCGCGCGCGCACACACACACACACACACACACACACACACAGTGGGGGAAACGTCAGAAAACGAAACCAACTAAATTCTTGCTTTTCTCCATAACAGGCAAAGAGAAACAGAAACTTCAGTCCCAAACTAAGAAAGTTAGGAATCAAGATATTAAGCAATTCTGGACTTTCTTGGCGAAAGAGAAAAACACCCATGTTCCAGGACTAGAGCACATCTGGATCAGACCGAGGGATTCCAGAAGGAAATGGGAGAGTCACATGTAGCACAGAGGAAAGCAGCAGGCCTGTGTGGCCTCGAGAGCATGAGTCCCAGAGGATGCTCAGGAGTGACCCAAACCCGGTGGGTCACTCCCAGTGCTGTCTCCAGGAGCACCTGGAGTGAGCTGCCCTCGCGAACATGGGGCTCAGGTGCCCATGTCCCTGCAGCTCTGTACCTTCTGTTCTGCTCCAGCCATCCCCTGGGACCCTCAACCTCTGCTCCAGCTACTGTAGGCAACGGAGTCTGAATCCTGGTTTCCTGGCCAAGAGCCTCTCAACACACCCGCTGCCCACTAGCCGACCTCTTCCTGCACAGATGGGCCAGGGGGGTCAGAGAATGAGGCTGATTTCTGCAGGCTCCAAACTGAGCCATCCCCCTAAAGCATCTTCTGGGGCGTCCTGGGGTCTTGCCTTCCTGTTTCAGTGACACCATATTCAAATGGGTTTTGAACTAAGGCCACCTCCTCTGGTCGCTGGTCACTTTAACATGTTCCCCTTGACCACTAAAATGTCCTATGGACTTGAGCCCAGAAACGAATCCAAAAGCAGGGTCAAGGTTCTTTTGTGCCCGCGGAAGGCAGCAGCGCATGAGCTACCACCCGCCGGAGACCGTGAGCTGCGTGCTGTGGGGCCTGGCAGGAGCCGCTTGGGGACCTCAGCCCTGAAGCCCAGACTTGCAGACATCCAGCCGGCACAAATCTGCGCCCCGCTGACCTGGCCACGGAGCACCTCGGGCTGAGCTCCGTCCCGGTGGTGCGCCGGGAGCCAGGCCCCACCTGATCCCACAAGGACTGCTCTCACGGAGAAAGGAAAGGGTGTCCAAGCTGCTCCAACTGCATCAGCAGCCAAGGGAACACAGTCAGCTCCCAACTAAGGTCTTCTGCGGAACTGGCCACGTATATATTTCCGACAGTTCCAACCAAAAAGGTAAGTGATTATCGAAGGCAGTACCTGTTCTTTCTACCTCCTGAAAAATATGTAGGAACAGTCGCTTCTAGAACCTCTTCCACGACTCCTGGCTCCAGATGCTTGACGCCCCTGCCTCACCTGAACATTCTCCCACCTGATGTAAAACTTAGTCCCTGAAGGTATGTGACTCACTGGAGCTGCTGTGCATAGCTGTGTTTCTCTGACCTCCTACCCACACAAGCATCCCTTCCTCTCCTAAAATCAGACACTGTTTCAAGCTTCTTGGTGCTTTGCTCTCAGGTACATCCTCAGTTGGGCCCAAATAAAAAACTCTACTTAAATTTACAAAGATTTAAGTCTTATTTTTGTTGGCATCACTTTGCAGATGAGGCTTAGAAAGGCTCAGAAGGCAGGGCCAGGTCCCTGAGCTGGAACTCCAAGACTGAGATCAGGGGACATCAAGTCAGTCCCCACAGGCAGCCTCTCCAACCCCCCATCACACACATTGGCGTCAGTGTTAGGAGATGTCTGTCCTGTGGTGGCAAAGGCTGGTGCAAGCCCCACTGTCGGGCCATCCCCACCCACCTCCCTGCTTCTCCCTGCTCTAGTGGCGCTTAGACACGGGCTTGGGGAGCATCCTGCAGTGTTAATAGATCGTGCCACAGGAGCCAAGCCTGGGCCGAGGCAAGTCTGCACAGGCTCTGGCCAAAGAAGCACTAGGTGGGCACATGGAAAAAGAATCCAGTGAACTAAGAAATTTCTAGAAACTGTTCTTGTCATGGGCTGAATTGTGTCCCCCAAAATCCATATGTTGAAACCCTGACCCCTAGCATCTCAGAATGGGACATTATTTAGAGATAGGGCTTTTACAGAGGTGACTGAGGTTAAACAAAGTCACTGGGGTGGGCCCTGATCCAACATGATTGGTTTCCTCATAAGAGGAAGAGATTCGGACACCGACACACAGAAGGACAACCACGTGAGGACACAGGAAGAAGGCCCCATCTACACGGCAAGGAGAGAGGCCTCGGGAAACCAGCCCTCCCCACACCTTGCTCTACCTCGGGCTTCCAGCCTCCAGGAGCACACACCGGTTGTCTGAGCCCGTCTGAGCCCGTCTGTGGTGTGCGTTACGGCCTCCTGAGCTGACGCGCGGCTGTGTCTGAGGCCCAGCTTTGCTCTCCCCTCTCCTCAGCTCTCTCCACCGCCCCCCAATTATATCTTATTTCTATAATTAGGAGCAGGAGGTGATTAGGGCAAAGGACACAGGGAAGGAAGTACGGACCTAACCCACATCCACTCCTGACAGGGGTCCCGGCCTCCGAGGGTGCCGTAGGCGTGCCTGTCTTTCTGCAGGGGAGAGGTGCCGCTGGCCCCCCTCACTCTGCAGCGGGCACCTCCGAGAAACGTGCACACTCCCCATCTCCCCCGGACCTAAAATGACTTGTGAAGCAGCATCACGCCCATTCTATACATGAGACAACTGAGCACGGGGCTCAGTGCAGGAGGTGGCCTCTTCAAGGTCACTAACCTAATGAATGGCCCCTGCTTTCCGTGACCCCCACCCTGCCATGCTCCTCCTGGGCCCTTCATAAACCTTGAGGGGTGGGTTAAATGAGAGACAGAGGTGTCCCCCACCCATGACAGGGGGAAGGAGATGACATGGCATGACACGCCCCCCCCCCAAGCCTATGTCCCATAAGCCCCAGCACATGTGACCACAGGTAAAGATGTTGTGCCCTGGGGAAACCCCAGGTAAAAACCGCAGCTCTGTCCTTAAGAGGCACTTCTCCAGGCTGGTGGCCTGGAGGAGCAGCCTCCCTTGAATAACCTGAAAAGGATGGTTTTGGTGTGGAAGCTGAGGGCACGTGCCCGAGAGTTCAGGGACAAGGGACATGGCTGCAGGACCCTGGTGAGCAGAGGAAGGAAACAGTTTGCCCAGGAGAAAGAGGAAGAAGGGAGTGGCCACAAGTGGACAGAGAGGAGGGAATGGGCAGAGCGCACAAATACGCCAGCAGAGAACTGCACACCTTCTGCCAAGGGGAGTTCCCATGTTCCCAGGCCAAGGCCAGGCTGGGGCTGCTTCATCCCTTGGAGAGCTGAAGCTGTTCTCAGAGTCCTCCTGGCTCCACCTTCCTGGGCTGGCTGCCCCTGCTCTGCCCCGGGGACCCCGCAGCTCCATACACACACACACCCCTGCACAGTCCCACCCCAGTGGCCCTGTGCACACAGTCCACCTACCTGCCAAGCCCCCCCC